CCGTGCAAGCGCGGCCCCCGTGGGATTACGGTCCGGATTTCCACCCGGCACCGCCACGGGGAGGTTGAGAACTTTCTGCCAGCGCGTTTAAGCGCAGCAGAGCAGGGAGCGCGGGTGTAAAGGTCAGCGGTGCAAGAGCCACAGCGAGCTGGACTTCAGCCTTTCCTTTAAACCTGCGGCTGGAGAAAATCGAAGCAAAGTTTTGGCCGAAGCCTGAGCAGCGAAGGCACGGCACTGCCCGCAAGGTTTGCTCCTCGCTTCCCTCCGGCTGGGTTTTGCAGGCGTTAAAAGCGGGCAGCCAGCGCTCCGGGGTTTGGCGTTCACTGCTGGTGGGGGGAGAGGGGGAGTCGCAGGGACCCTCCGGAGCAAAGCCGTCTGTAGGTAGCGCTGGAAAAGAGGGGTGGCTTTAGCACTCTGGGCACGTCGCTACCCTTTCTCAAAGCCAAGGGAGGCTCCGGAAATGGGGGGCGGGTGAGTGTTGGTATGTCCTGCCTTGTTCCTGCAGATCGAGGAGCGGCTCAGCCTGGGCTTTCGGATGCAAAGGGGGTTTTTTGCACCTCTCTCATTTTTCCCTGGCTTTCTGCAGTTTCCTCCAGTTCCTGTTTATGTTAACTTACTTTTTGACACAAAACAGGTATAAAAAATTTTATAAATTACTCTTTATTCAGACTCTGCAGTAGGAGTATTCGTTATCTAATCAAAGTTCACGTGGGTTCATTTTTTTCCCAGTTTCTTGGCTTTCCAGTCAAGCTTGGTGCAGCACAGTTTACACACCCCGAGCTTTGAGTTCCTCCCATTTATACTCTGCATTTCCTGGATTTCTTAACATTTGTATATTCTGTAATCCCAGACGCACTTTCACGGTTCTAATTTCTGAATCACTGCACCATGCTCCTGCTCAGTCAGGCATCACTTTTTTAAACAAACAAATAAACAAACAAACAAACAAACTTTTTGCTTTTGAGAGAATGCCTTTTAATGGGAAATTAAATTTTTGTGTGAAAACAAGCCAGTTTAGCTGAAATTATTTCTTGAAAAGATTTCAGGACGATTGCTTTGTGTAGGCAGAGGCAGATAGATAGCTGCAAGCCTCTTCCCCTTCTTTGCGTGTCCTGGTTTGGGCCAGGAAAGGGAATAAATAGAAGCAGCAGCACAGAGAGGTTTAAGAGTGCCTCCTTTTCCCCCACCTGCAGGAGGGGAAGTGCTGGGCCCTCGGCGTGGGCTCAGCGCAGTGGGAAGGGTAATGAGCAGCGTCTGTCCCCAGCACTCGAGTCAGGAGCTGGTGATGGCTTTCTCCAAGGACAGCTTTCCTCCATGGACACCTGCAGCTGGAGAAAGACCAGAGGTGTTCACTGGGGATGGGAAGAAGGGACTGGTGTTTCTGCTAACCTCTGGGCTATTTTATTTCCAGTTGCTCACACGCCAGCCCGTTGCCTGCTGCAGGACAGCATGGTGCAGCGCGTGGCTGTTATCGGGGCCGGGGTCGGTGGGTTGGCCTCCATCAAGTGCTGCCTGGACGAGGGGCTGGAGCCCACCTGCTTTGAGAGGAGCGAGGACATCGGGGGGCTCTGGCGCTACACGGTCAGTGGGCTCTGCCTACGTGGGGAGGATTGGCTTCGGGTTTGTCCCCTCCCTCGGATGCTCTGTGCCCACAGCAAAGAGGAAAGGGTGGCTGTGCCCTCGGGGACCATCCCTGTCCCAGGCGCGGGGGCTCCCCCTGACTCCAAGGTGAAGAAGGAGATGGAGGGAGCAGAAGCCATGGTCACCAGGTGCTAGTCCTGGTTTATTCCTTGTACACGAATACAAGGAAGAAAAATACTCACATACTTTTGGGGGAGAAAGCACTTCCCCGCACACCCGCAAACAGCACCACTGTCTTCACACAGGACTCCATCGAGAGCGGGAGGGTCAGTGTGTACCGCTCAGTCATCACCAACACCTCCAAGGAGATGTCCTGCTTCAGCGACTTCCCCTGCCCAGAGGATTTTCCCAGTTTCCTACCCCATGGCCTCCTCCTGGAGTACTACCGGATGTACGCTCGGCACTTTGACCTCCTGCGGCACATACGCTTAAAGGTGAGCAGGGACCCCAAACACCATGGGGAGAAGAGTCATCAGTAGCTGCAGATACCAGGGCATCGCCCAAGTGGGCCAGGACAATGCTGGGTGCAATCCCACGAGGACCAAGTGCTGATTGCATCCTGAAAGCAGCCATTTGAGCTCCAGGTTTTAAATTAGGCTGCTCAAACATGGGCTGCCTGGTGCATCCCCCCACTCAACGCTATCACCAGGGGAAAGGTGCAGGGTGGGATTTAACAGCTTCAGGGGTGATGTGCAGCTCCCCGGGGACCCAGCCTGCCCCCGGCATCCCCAGCCCTTTGCAGGCAGGTCCTCTCCGAAACGCGGCACAGTCCCTGACTGCTGTTTTGTTGGGCTTTGGTGCAAGACAACAGCTCTCAGCGTGAGGAAGCGCCCAGATTTCGCCACCTCGGGCCAGTGGGAGGTGGTCACCGAGACCAACGGCGTCCACGAGACGCATGTCTTCGATGCCGTCATGGTTTGCACCGGCCATTACCAGGAGCCCTACTTACCATTGGCTTCTTTCCCAGGTAAGCCCGGCCTCGGCAGCGGGGTGGGCTGGGGCTGGCCCCCAGGATTTCACTCAGCACCCATGGGTTCCTTGGCTGCATTTTACTTCGTGAGCCTGCCTGCTCCACAAAGGTCCCATGCCGGGGCAGGCAGGACCCTTGCCCCACAGGAATGGCTGTGAGCATTCCTGGGAATGGGAAAAACACCTCATAAGGATGCAGCCAGGCTTTTGCATAAGAATTTGCAAAGCAGGACCAAGACGAAGAGGTGCAGGAGGGTGGCATCACCCGGGGAGACAAGACCTCCACGGGCTTCTCAGGTGCAAGGAGAGGCAGAGGGTCCGGGCAAGCCAACGTATCTGGTGGTAGGAGATGCTCCTTGCTCTCTGCCTAGGTATTAAGACCCGCTTCAAAGGCCGGTACCTCCACAGCCGGGAATATAGAGACGTGGAGGCTTTCCGGGGAAAGCGGGTCCTCGTGGTTGGCATCGGCAACACCGGAGGTGACCTCTCCGTGGAGCTGAGCCGTGTGGCTGCAAAGGTACAGCTCCGCAGCAGGGCTGAGCCCGGCCGGGTGCCGCAACAGCCAGCGGCTCGAGTTATGCGCGGGAAACTTTGCCCACCAGGTTTCTCAATAAATAGCACTTCAAATTGAGGGCAATTGAAGAAGCTCTGCAATTCCTGGAGGCTTTGGGCCACCTGAGGAGTGGCCATTCAGCAGCTGTGGGAATTTTGCAGAAGCCACCACGAGCTGTTTGGTTCATCTGGAACCCATCTCCTTCCCTCAGGATGACCCTCTCAGCTCCCAAGTGCAGGAGATGGGATTTGCCATTCAGGGCAAAACCAGCAATGAGATGTCTGGGCAGGAGGCTGAGACCTGCCTTCTCCCCTAGGTGTTCCTCAGCGCCAGGAGCAGCACGTGGGTGTTCAGCCGGGTCTCAGACCATGGCTTCCCCTTCGACATGGTCAGCACCACTCGTTTCAACCACTTTCTCGACTGGCTTCTCCCGTCAGCAGTCACAAAGAGGATCAGGTTTCGGAAGTTCAATTCGTGGTTTGACCATGCGAACTACGGCTTGGCTTCCACCAAAAGGTGTTTTTTCTTCCTATTTTTTGCGTGGTCAGGGGGGCATTTAATGGTGTGAAATGCTCAATTTTTAATTTCAGGGCATATTTGTAGAATAGCAAACCCTTGGAGGGGAACTCTGGCCACAAAAGTCATTTCGGGTCCATCCCAGATGCTAACATTGTTGTCCTCCTCTTTTCCACCTGCAAGCTCCAACTTTAAGATAATTATCAACGAAGAGCTGCCATTTTGCCTCCTCTCTGGGACCGTTGTATTGAAGCCAAATGTGAAGGAGTTCACCGAAAACTCTGCTGTGTTTGAAGATGGGACAACTGAAGAAAACATTGACATGGTGCTCTTCGCCACGGGCTACATCTTCTCATTTCCCTTTCTCGAAGAGTCGGTTCGCAGCCTCTTCGATGATAACCGTTCACTCTATAAATGCATCTTCCCTCCCCAGCTGGAAAAGCCGACACTGGCCATCATCGGCTTAGTCCAGCTGACTGGCTCTGTGATGGTGGGAGCAGAAATGCAGGCTCGCTGGGTGACAGGGATCTTTGCAGGTGGGAGATGGGGTACAGGAATGGAGGGATCTGCTGGGGTGGGAGGTTTGGGGTGGCCTGACCTGCTGTCCATAGACCCTACAGCATATTTCAGCTCCTGCCACAGTGCCCATGGTGGCCATGGGCATTAGTAGCACCATAGCCTCTGCTCCCCAACTGCACCCCCATATCCCTGCTACTCCACACACGCTGCCATAACCAGCAAGCATGAACGCTCTCGGTAAAGGGGCTGGGAGCATGGGAAGGGGGTGAACTTTTCAGCTTAAGATGTTGCTGGAGGTCTCTGGTTTCTCTGTTCTTCTCAGGCTGGAACAAGCTCCCTCCCATCAGCAGGATGATGGCTGATGTTTTGAAGAAGAAGCCACCAGTCAAAAGGTGTGTGATGCTCCTGTGCTCGGGGTGCGATGGGCACAGTGTGCCAGGATAACCCCAGGGAAAGGGGGGTCCTATGGTGGTTGTGGGAGGGACCCACCGAGGACACCCATGTACCTTGAGTGCATTTATTCCCTCACCACCTATAGCGAGGTGGGGAAATGCTGTTGGAGGCTTCTTCATGGATGACAGACCAAGACACCAAGGGCACAGTGGTCTGGAGCAGTTTATGGCAAGACCTAGGACCTGCAGGTCCCCTCTGCTGGGCCTCCAAGCCGCCTCCTTATTCCCAGCATGTCAAGAGGGAGGTTTGGTTTCCTCTAGACTGAGGGTGCCATCTCGTGGCTTCTCCCTTCCAAATCCAGGCAGCAGGGAGTGCTGGGGTCAGGGCCAAGCCCCATCCAGAAACCCCACCCCGTTGGAGCCAGGCAATGCAGGTGGGGGACAGTTTGGTGGCAGTTTTTGACAGGTCAAGATAAGTGTTAGACAAGGCTGGAACTCATCCGTCATGTACGTCGGAGCTCACATCCTACCTTGCTGGTGCTGGGATCTTACAGGAGGTCAGGATGTGTCCTCAAGGCTGTGGGACAGGTGATGGTGGACGTGCTGCCTTGCAGCAGCTTTCAGGAGCAAGGGGGAACCTTGGGGGATGCAGGCTGGGTTGGGTCTGCCAGCAAGGCAGAGGTGGCTCGTAGGACACTGATGAAAATCTGGGACAAAAAAGAGCCACGGGGATTGTCGCCAGGAGCCCCAGCTGCTGCAGACACAGGTGCTGTTACACAGAAATACGGGAGTCTGAGGTACCGTAGAGAGAAACTCGAGGCTGTCCCAAATCTGCTGAAGCAGGTTCAGCACACGTCCTCCCTCCTGCTAGGGAGATGAGGCCTCAAGCAGAAAAATCCTGGAGGTCCCTCCCAGCATGGGAAGCCTTCTGCATCTCCCAGTTTTTCCCGTCCCCTTGGCAGTCTTATCTGTGAATACCTACTCCTCTACCTCTCAAAATCAGCCAAATCCAGACCTGTGAACCTCAAGAAGGATGTAACATGGGTATTTGCGGCATTACAACAATGGAAGTATCAAGCTAGAACCGTTTTTGAGGCCACAACTAGGTTGCAGAGAGAAAACAAGCTTCTGCCTATTCCCTGCCCCAGGTAACTGCTGGGGACCAGCCCCACAGAGGCTCTTTTGGTGCCTTTAGGTTTATTTGGGGCTGAAGGAGTTCAGTCCCAGAGACTGGGGCTCACCTGATGTCTGAGCCCAGAGCTTTTGCTTTCCATGGAGCTGGGAACTGAGATGGGATGATGCTATTTGATTTTGTCCCTTTTATGTCACATTGAAGGAATCCATCCGAGAGGGAGAACTTGAAGATAAGTTTTATCAGCTACACCGACGAAATTGCTTCATGTGCTGGCGTAAAGCCCAGCATGCTGAGGCTGCTCCTGACAGACCCCCGCCTGGCCCTGGCTGTCTTCTTCGGCCCCTGCACGCCCTACCAGTACCGACTGGTGGGACGGGGGAGGTGGAGCGGGGCCAGAGATGCCATCCTGACTCAGTGGCAGCGGACACTGAAGCCCTTGAGAACTCGGGTGGTGGATGACATCTCCTCTGGCTCCTCCGGTTGGCGCTGGATGTGCCTCCTGGCCCTGTCGGGGGCTCTCGCAGCAGGTTTCCTCCTTTCTAAATGCCCCCGGCTGGGCTGGAGCCCCCGGGCAGCCCCCCAGCCGTAGAAGAAGCCTGGTGAGACCCAGTCCCCGGCGAGCTGGGGACGGTGCGGAGCTGTGCCGCTGCTGGGCGCTGTCAGCGGGGCTGGAGTTGGGCCAGCGCCGGCAGAAACCCCAACCTCGGCGCTGTCTGGTGCTTGGC